AAATAATTGTTTCATGTTTCAAACAATGCCATTTTTTGCAGACCATGGGTTGGTAGGGCTGCCATATGCCCAGTTTTTCCCAGACACGTCCAGAAATTTGGCCAGAAAATCTTGTCCGGGTGATTTTTTGGCAAATCAGCAAAATGTCTGAGGAAACCCAGATGTTGATTAGATGATGAACAACAAACACTCTGTGAAGTGAGTGGGGCTGAGAGACTTCAGAGAAGTGTGACTAGCCCAAGGTCACCCAGCAGCTGCATGTGGAGAGCGGGGAATCGAACCCGGTTCACCAGATTACGAGGCCACCGCTCTTAACCACTACACTCACACTGGCAAGAGGATGATGATGATGATTATATCATTTAAAAATTCAAAAAAAAAAAAAAGGCAAAAAGGGAGTGGGCAAACAGCTCAACAGCTTTGTCCAGATTTTCACTTTTGGGAATATGGCAACCCTATGTGTTGGTCCTACTATGAAGGAATGCAAAGCATTGCTCTACATTAGGCATGGCCAGTGTGGTGCCCCTGGGCAACACGGTGGCCACCCCTGTCTTCTCTCCACCTCACTGAAATTACGTTTGAACCAAGCATCCTATTGAAGCCAATACAGTGGTACCTCAGTTTACAGACGCTTCAGGTTACAGACTCCACTAACCCAGAAATAGTACCTCGGGTTAAGAACTTTGCTTCAGGATGAGAACAGAAATCATGCAGTGGCGGTGTGGCGGCAGCAGGAGGCCCCATTAGCTAAAGTGGTACCTCAGGTTAAGAACAGTTTCAAGTTAAGGACGGACCTCCAGAACGAATTAAGTTCTGTTCTCATCCTGAAGCAAAGTTCTTAACTGGAGGGACTATTTCTGGGTTAGCGGAGTCTGTAACCTGAAGCGTCTGTAACCTGAATCATCTGTAACCCAAGGTACCATGTACAGTGGTACCTCGAGTTACAAATGCTTCAGGTTACAAACTCTATTAGAGTTACCTCAAGTTGAGAACTTTGCCTCAGGATGAGAACAGAAATTGTGTGCCGGCAGTGCAGCGTCAGCAGGAGGCCCCATTAGTGAAAGCACGCCTCTAGTTAAGAACAGTTTTCAAGTTAAACAGACCTCCGGAACGAATCAAGTTTGTAACTAGAGGTACCACTGTAATAAAGTAGCTTAGATTCCACACCCCAAATGCCTATCTTCTGCTTGGACTCTGCTATCAGATTGGGTACATATATCTTCGGATATATGTCACAGAAGTGCATTGGGAAAGAGTGATGAATCATTCCAAGGGTCGCTTGTGGGGGAGAACGCAGCAACAACTACAAGTCTTCCCTGGGCTGCAACTGTGCTGTCAATTTCATTGCAAAGGGGGCAAAGGACTTCATAAAGTTGTATAACATAGAGATTCAACTTGGTGCAGAAGAAATCCTGTTGAATTTAGTTGCTCTTCATATCCGAGAGAGGGATAGATAATTGGGACCATCTTAGTTCCCCAAGGCCTTTTCTGTACCCAGGAGAAAGGCTCACAGCTGGAATCACTGTCTGGAGAAAAATACAGAAATAATTGCCACATGTCATATATGCTAAAATATCTTTTCGACACCCATCCTGCATAGGGCTTATTCATATGTCCAGTTCCTGGGTACTGTTTAATTATTTGGTGCTTATTTTCACATGTATTAATGTCAGTGTTCTGTGTTTTCCCATCTAGTTTTCTTTAAATTGGGGGTGGGGAACCTTTTTTGGAGGGGAATAAAGGGCCACATTTCCTGGATTAAAAGCTGTTGGGGCCACATTCCAGCTGTCAGAATGGGTGGGGGCAGTTGCAAACACAACCATATACCTTTATGCCAATCACAAGTTCATGCAGAAAACAATTTCCATGGAAAACAGAGACAATCATTTAATTCTCAGTAAGATCCACTTATAGTAGTCCAGCTCCATTTTTCTCCACATACATTCTCACATCAAGTTGTTAAAAGAAACACAAACTCTTTATCTGCCCCGACTGTGCAAAAGTCCAAAATAATGAAGTGACACCTACATAAGGATGTAAATAAGATAAACGAATAGCCGAATTACAAGTCTTGCCATACAGCTTTCCAAAACTTCAAAATGCAACTGCATCTCCAAAATTGCATGCATGCAGCTACAAGACGCATGGATGGCTTTTGGCAGATTGCAAGGAACACAAGTCAACCTCTCTGCTGAGATACTTCCTCCTCTGCTTTTGGTCTTCTTGCACCAGAACTTCTTGCAGAGAATCCCCTCAAAGTGTTTCTTATTCAACAGCTGGAGGGTAAGAAGGAACCATATGGTGCAGCACCAGGATTTCCACATATCTGTGTCAGTGGCTCTGGGATTCCCTAGCAGAATGTTAAATGTTGCACAGAGGGCCAAAATGAACCAGCGGTGTAAGTTAACAGGGATAGAAGGGACACGGGTGGCGCTGTGATCTAAACCACTGAGCCTCTTGGGCTTGCCGATCAGAAGGCCAGTGGTTCGAATGCCCGCAGTGGGGTGAGCTCTGGTTGCTCTGTCCCAGCTCCTGCTAACCTAGCAATTCAAAAGCACACCAGTGCAAGTAGATAAATAGGTACCACTGCAGCAGGGAGGTAAATGGCACTTCTTGTGCCCTCTGGTTTCCGTCACAGTGTTTCTGTTGTGCCAGAAGCAGTTTAGTCATGCTGGCCACATGACTCGGAAAGCTGTTTGCAGACAAATGCCAGCTCCCTCGGCCCTGAAAGCAAGATGAGCACCACAACCCCATAGTCGCCTTTGACTGGACGTAACCATCCAGGGATCCTTTACCTTTACCTAGAGATGCAGCATGGTGCAAGTTTGGGGAGTGCTGGACTATGACTGGGGAGGACCAAGTTTCAGATCCCTGCTTGGCCATGGAAACTCACTCTTTCAGCCTAGCCTACGTCACAATGATACTGTGAAGATGAGAGGGGGACTATGGGCCTTCTTTGGAAGAAAAATGGGACAAAAATGTTATACATATATGTAAAGTATACAAGAAATTGGGGAAAAACCAGGCTACCACATAGAATTACCAATCAAAGCATTTACAATAACAATTGGCACTTGAATGGGAGTTCAGATGAATTGAGATTGAGCTTGTTTCAACATGCTGGTTTCCTCTGTTCTTGGATCAATGCAGGTCAGTGCTTGCTGCTCCTGAAGAACCCAACCTTCATCTTCCTCTGCTTAGCTGGAGCAACAGAAGCCACACTCATTGCTGGGATGTTCCACCTTCGCCCCAAGTTTCTGGAATCCCCAGTTTAGCTTAAGTGCCTCAGAAGCAGCTACCTTGTTCGGTAAGGAAATATTGGTTAGGGACCATTGCAGGTTGCTTACACCTTCTTAAGCGACTGGGCGTGTATGGCCCGGTTCACACAACATGCTAAGCCAAACAGTTGGTACAGTGAGACCAGCATGAATGGAAGTGTCCCTGAACAGAGACTGGCAGCCACTTTGCTGCTAGCCAGTCCTTTTTGCTGCTGCACTGTGTTGCATACCCCACAAGTGTCCAGAAAAAACTGGTATACCCCGTTTCCCCCCACGCTAGCCCGGCAGCCATTTTGGTCACCGTGAACTCGCACAATTTTGCACTGAGAACTCACCCCGAAGAAAGCACATCTTCTGGGTGCTGTTATCTTGCCCTGGTCACGTGAGTACAGATGGGAAGATGTGTGTCCCGGTTTTGTGACTCAACATGGCATTGGCCTAAGGCAAGGTTTGGCTTAGTGTGTTGTCTGAACTGGTAGGGGTGCCAACTTGAATAAAATATTGTGGGGGGAGATCGGTTCTATTACCACAAATTGGTATGCCAACCTGCATCCTCTTCTGTCCCCCCTTTTTGGCATAGGGGTGTTGATGGATTTTATCTTTCTTTTCTGTAAAGTGGAAGCGGTCGCTCCACCCAGAAGCCCCTACAACACTGCCAGCTCAGGAAGGGTTGCCTGGGTGAACAGAATTACTCCAGAAACGAGGAGTACAGTATAAGCATGGAAGCTTCTCACCTCCAGCTCTGGGTCTGGGATAACAGAAGGGCAACCCAAAGGGTATTGGCTCTAGCCTGGTGCCAGGCTGCACAACCAGCTCCCCTAGTGGTTACAGTCACCAGGTAGCCAACTCCAAAATGGCACCCCACACAGTAAATGGCTGTGTAATTGTATTCAGAGCTGCTTAAATGGTAGTTCCTAGCTGGTGTCCCATCCAGATACTGGGCAGGGTGAGCCTTTTCCGTTTGCTTTCCTAATGATGTATGTTCCAGCTGGCATCAAGTTGGTTTTATGCAATCCTGCTTTCAGTAAAGTCTGGGGTTGGAGACGCTGCTTCATTTCCCAATTGGATCATGTCCTGTTTGCTCCCTGCTGATCTGGGTCCCATCTGCCAAACACTCATTTCACGTGCTGTAGCAAAGAGTGCCCTTCTAGCTTGCAAAAAATGTGATAATATTGAAGAAGCAGAGCAACTAATAAAGCAGAATGGTTTTGCAGTGGCCAAGTGCAAATGCACCACTAATGCACAATTATTGCATCAAATGCAAGTTGCAGAGTCTGCCCATCCCACAAAACAAATACCCCACCAGCATGGAGGGACCCAACTGCATCACAAGCCTTCTGAGGCTATTTGTTTCATTGAACAGATACCGTATTTTTCGCCCTATAGGATGCACTTTTTCCCCTCCAAAAATGAAGGGAAAATGTGTGTGTGTCCTATGGGGCGAATGCAGGCTTTCGCTGAAGCGTGGAGAGTGAGAGGGGTCGGTGCATACCGACCCCTCTCGCTCTCCAGGCTTCAGGAAGCTATCCGCAAGCCTTGGGAGCCCGCGGGAGTTCCCGCCGGGCTCCACCGGCTTGCGCAGCGCTGCCTCTTATCCCAAAGCCCCGGCGCGCTGAGCAGTCGCACCGGGCTTCGGGTAGCTCCGCACAAGCCGCGGGAGCCCTCCCCTGGCTTGCGCAGCGCTGCCTCTTATCCCAAAGCCCAGCCACACTGAGGCAGTTGTGCCAGGGCTTCGGGTAAGCTCTGCGCAAGCCGGGGAGCCCTCCCCTGGCTTGCACAGTGCTGCCTCTTTATCCCGAAGCCCCTGCGCGCTGAGCAGTTGCGCAGGAGCTTCGGGTAGCTCTGCCAAGCCGCAGGAGGGCTTGCGGAGAGCAGCCTGTTCTGGGGGCTGGGGTCGGGGGAAAGCTTGGGCTTCCCCTGCCCCAGCCTCGCGCCCTTGGGGGAGGAAAATATTTTTTTCCCTTATTTCCCCCCCAAAAAAACTAGGTGCGGCTTATGGGCCGGTGGCGCCCTATGGGGCGAAAAATACGGTACTAGTTATTCCTTCCAGTGTTGCTGCAGTCTGTGTCCGAGATCAGTGGGAGATCTGTCCTAATCACAAAGGGATTCTTAGTCTTTGCTGCCAAGAGCTTCCTCTGTGTTCTCAGACGGGTGTGATTGCAAAAGATAAAGGGAAGCACCTTAACCACATATGTGATCTTGCCGATTTCTTCTCCTTTTGGAAGGCTACCTCGTGGTTCCAGCCGAGGAGGAGGCACATTCCTCGGAGGATTCATCGTGAACAAATTTAAGCTGCGCTGTTCGGGGATTATCAAGTTCTGTTTGTTTTGCACCATGTCCAGCTTGCTGGCCATTTTCATCTTTTTCATCGACTGCCCCAACATGCCCATGGCTGGAGTGACACAGATGTATGACAGAAGGTAGGAGACATGATAAGCCATGTCACTCTGCTGATGCTGTTGATGCTGAGGATGCAGCAAAGGGGGGAACTCAGGATTATTAATGTATGAAATTGAGACCAGGGTTCACATCCCCACTCAGCCATGAAGCTCCCGGGGTGACCTCGGGCCAGTCACTCACTTGCAGCCTAGTTAAAATGGAAGGGTAGAGAGAGAAACTATGGGAAACTCCCCCGGGAAGAGGGACTGGTTGTTAAACCCCTCTGAAAATTGTAGCTCTGTGCGGAGTCTCCTAACAACTCTCAGCACCCTTAACAAACTGCAGCTCCCATAATCCTTTGGGGAAGCCATGGCTGTCTAAAGTGGTGTCGTAATGCATTAAATGTACCTTATGAATGTGGCCCATCTGTGGACACTTCGAGAGGCTAAATGTGGTGTGTGTTGGCAACTTCTATGCTTTGTCCAGCATCTTACCCGAAGGCCACCTCAACCTGTCCTCCCCTTGCAATGTGGAGTGTGATTGTCTGCGAGAGATGTACAGCCCCGTGTGTGGAAATGATGGAATCATGTATTACTCCCCCTGCCACGCAGGATGCAAGAAGGTTTCAACCAGCCACGACAGCGGAAAAAAGGTATGATCTACGGAAAGATCTGCTCTGTCTTGTTGTCAGGGTCTGGGCAGAGGAGGAATGGTGGCATACAACCAAGGAAACGGGGACAATTGGCAGGCCCCCAGCTGGCTCCAGCCCACCGGCCAGTGTGCCGGGCAATCTCCAGTCCTTGGTGCAGCATCTGCGACTCACAGCTTCAAAAGCTGGAGCACACAACTCAGCAGAGAAAACGGGCAAACAGAAGTGCTGGGAGAGTATGTGTGAGCAGATTTACAAGCAGTTTATTCAGCAAAGGTAAAGGTAAAGGGACCCCTGACCATTAGGTCCAGTCGTGGCCGACTTTGGGGTTGCGGCGCTCATCTCGCTTTATTGGCCGAGGGAGCCGGTGTACAGCTTCCGTGTCATGTGGCCAGCATGACTAAGCCGCTTCTGGCAAAACAGAGCAGTGCACGGAAGCGCCGTTTACCTTCCCGCCGGAGCGGTACCTATTTATCTACTTGCACTTTGACATGCTTTCGAACTGCTAGGTTGGCAGGAGCAGGGACTGAGCAACGGGAGCTCACCCCGTCGCGGGGATTCAAACCGCCGACCTTCTGATTGGCAAGTCCTAGGCTCTGTGGTTTAACCCACAGTGCCACCCATACATCAGGACAAAAGGAAAACATGTCTGATCCCTTTCGTGTCCAAAGCAAGGCAGCATAAGCAAAAGCTATACACAAACAGAAGTTCCCAGCAAGCTGTGCTGGAGTGTAAACAGACATGTGACATACAACAATTCCACACGTCTGTTCTTAAGGTGGAACGGAATATTCTAACAGCCTCCCCAGCCTGACCCTTCCAGAGAAGAAGGAGACAATTCAGAATTATAACAGGGGTTTGAGGGAGGTCACTGCTCAGAGGCAGATGAGGGGGAAAGCTGGGAAATAATGGGAGAGAAGGAGGAGGAGGAAGAAGCACCAGGGGAGAGACAGCTGATGGACTCAGTATCTTTATAAAGCATTCCAGACACCCCCCTCTCCCAGAACACAGCAGTCCTTGAAAGTAGGAGAGCAAAGAACTCAAAGGCAAAAGGCCCTTTCCAGCACCCGTTGTGATGACTCATGAGGAAGTGGGATAGACGGAGGGGGTGGGGTTTCACTCGGAGCAACACCATTACTCCAAGAGGCTGCATTTCTATGCCCCTCTCTGTGAATATTTAATAAAAAGCATTGGTAAGAACTCTCCTAGTCTTATCCATTCCTGGCAATCTACCAATGGGGGTTGGATACTCTGACGGCTGACACTTGTAGATGCCATGAAGCCTGCTTCATCACAGTTTAGTCAAGCTGTGGACAGAGCTAAAATTAACTGGGAGGGAGGGGGGTTCTAAAACAATTTCCCCTTCTAATGTGTGTGTGTGTGTGTGTGCAGGTAATTTTTATTCAATTGTATTAACACAAAGTGTAGAATCCATCCTGGTATGTATGAGGTGTGTGCCTCATTGGTTGCTCGATCTCAGCATTGTCTATAATAGCTTCCAGCATCCTGGTAACCACCAGATGTTTTTGGACTAGTCTGATGAAAGTTGTAGTCCAAAACATCTGGAGCTCACCAGGTTGTCGGAAGCTGCTCAGTACTGTTTGGAAGTGACTCTCTGGGGTTTCAGACAGAGGTCTTCTCAAGTTCCACCTAGAGATGTCCAAGATTGAACCTGGGACCTTTTGCATGCAAAACACAGGTTCTATCACCAAGTTGTGGTGCCACCTCAATATGCAAATGAAAAGCATCTTTGTTTGCTTCCCAGCATGTGGGAAAGTAGCATGTTTTGGCAGAGCGTGTGGATTTCTTCTGAATGGGACCTTCTCTTGTTGTGTGCTTGACAAGGTTTACCACGAGTGCAGCTGTATACTTGATGCTCCCGCTGCATCTGGCTTGGCGACTGCAGGAAAGTGTACCTCCTCATGTGAGAGAAGGAACCTCCTCCTGCTTTTCATGTTTGTGGTGATCCTCTTCACATTCCTGAGCAGCATTCCTGCTCTGACGGCCACTTTACGGTAAGCTGCAAGGACCTGATCTCATTCTTCAGAGCTTATCCCAGCAGAACCTCAACTCCCATCATCCCTGACCACTGACCTGTCATTGAAATTCTACTCCATATTGATCCAGAGCAGATTCCAATGTACAGTTAGCAGAGCAAAAACTTAAACACGTTGTAGAATTCCCAAAAAATAGAGCAGAGGCAATTAATATTTCATCCCACAGAGCTTTACTGCTACTGAAGGCAAATGAGCATAATGGTCAAAAATCCAATACATTCAGGATTGGCACTGTCCATAGGAAATCCAGTTGCAGCAGACTTAACTTAAACTTACAATAACTTATAATAAGTCTAAAACCTTAACACTAAGCATACAGAAGACCACACCAGAGAGAAAAGAGATAGGAAGAGAAAGTGAGTGAAACCCAGGCTCCTTCCAGCCTATTTTTATAGCCAGCATGACCTTGACTGAAAGAGGTAACAGTTTAAGCCAGCTGTACTCAGCTTCTCTGAAAGAATAACCCAAACATCATGAAGCTTCTGCTTGCATCTTTCACACAGAGAAGCTTCCAGAACCCTCTTGAATTAAGTAGAATAGGAAAGATCTCTACACGTCAGATCAATACTTGCTGTAACAGGGCCGTCTTTAGCATATGTACCGCCAGGGTGCAAAGATCCCCAGCGCCCCCAAATTTAATTTAGCTGCCCCCAAATTAACTTTTTCTTAGCTTTTTGGGGGGAGGAGGGAAGACAAAGTTGTTGAGCTTTTTTGGGGGGGGGATCGCTCACCTGTAACAACGATGCAGCGGAAAAGAATTTGTTTCCTGACTCATCGGGAATATCTGACACTACGGAATGACAGAGTGACGGAGGGGGGCTTTTCACTGCTGCAGATCAAGAGGGACTGGTATACATTTGGCGTCCCCCAGAATTTGGAACCTGGGTGCTCAGCACCCCTTGCACCCCCGGGTAAAGACGGACCTGTTCTGTAATAAGAAATGCAAACTGACATGACCATGCTGCCTGCAGCTACTGGGGTTAAGGCTTCAACAACAGTAGGAGGGCCACACCCCTGACTTAACAGTCTGGTTTAATATTGGCTGCACATCTACAGTGGTGCCTCGCAAGACGAAATAAATTCGTTCCGCGAGTTTTTTCGTCTTGCGATTTTTTCGTCTTGCGAAGCACGGTGTCGGAAAAGTTTTGGAAAAGCTTCAAAAATCACCAAAGTCTTCAAAAACCTCAAAAAAGGCTACCACACCGCTTGCTATGAGTTGCTCCTCGAAGTCAAGTCACAACTGTATTAACGGTGTTAAGAAAAAGGAAACAAACTTGCAAGACGTTTCTGTCTTGCGAAGCAAGCCCATAGGGAAAATCGTCTTGCGAAGCAGCTCAAAAGACAAAAAACCCTTTCGTCTAGCGAGTTTTTTGTCTTGCGAGGCATTCGTCTTGCGAGGTACCACTGTATATGCAACCATGTCAGAGACCCTTAGCAGCCAGATGGGCATGCTTGAGTTCTGTACAATGAGAATCACATAGCTCCCAGGATTTTGGAACATGTGTTGGACCGAATATCTGTGTCTCTTTTTTTCTGGTAGGCAGAAACAACTGCCATGACTTTGAGCCATCAGGATCTTTTTACAAAATTATATATCAGGTGTTTTAATATTTAACATGAACCAGATCACTGTGCCCTTAACTACTGAGACCCACAATTTGGTGGTATTATGGGAAGCAGAGCTGCTGCGTTGCTCAAGGGTTGTTCCTGCTCGCTGTCATTTATAAATGTCTTGTCTTATGCTTCCTAGGTGTGTTTCAGACAGGCAGCGATCGTTTGCTCTGGGGATCCAATGGATTGTAGTCCGGACACTTGGTACAGTATACAGCTAAGATCTAATAATCTACTCCTCGCATATGATGTTTATTGACATAACTCTTGCTCAAGATAAAATCATGCAGGCTATGAAGACATTCTTTATGTCTGTAGAAGCAAACAACAACAACAACCCACAAATGCCGGACCAATTGGCATATTGACCTTTAATATACAACTGTCTCCTTCTTAAAAACAACCACCACCACAAAAACAAGTTAGCTGAGAAGGTAGGATGGTGTGTATTTGAACAGAAATGGTCAGCATCTGCAGACCTGCACACCTTTAGTCCAAGCATTTCTTTGATGACACTCTCCTCTTTTTACTTTTGTTGTGGCAGTGATGTTCCTATGACCCAATGCTTAGCATTGGGCCACCTCCCCATTCTGAAAAGACTACGGCATAGAGATCTCCATAAATTGGACTAGCTGGGCCTAGAGTCTGACTCATTATGTGTCCATTGTGTTCTGCTCAGAGTAAAGGTAAAGGTAAAGGGGCCCCTGACCATTAGGTCCAGTCATGACCAACTCTGGGGTTGCGACGCTCCTCTTGCTTTATTGGCCAAGGGAGCCGGCCTACAGCTTCTGGGTCATGTGGCCAGCATGACTAAGCCACTTCTGGCAAACCAGAGCAGCACACGGAAATGGCATTTACCTTCCCACCAGAGTGGTACCTATTTATCTACTTGCACTTTGACGTGCTTTCGAACTGCTAGGTTGGTAGGAGCAGGGACCAAGCAATGGGAGCTCACCCTGTCACGGGGATTCGAACCACCGACCTTCTGATCGGCAAGTCCTAGGCTCTGCGGTTTAACCCACAGCGCCACCCACGTCAGAGTACAACTATTGAAAAGATTGGACCCACGTTAGTCATGTCATGTCCATTAATTTCAATGGTTCTGCTTCGAGTATGGCTAGCATTGGATCCAGCCCTGTTGCATTCTGAAGAATTAAAGCGCGGAGCAGAGAGAGATCCTTGTGCTGTGCCAACAGACTGGGAACTTTGATTCACCCAAGAAACACACATTCATGCTGTTATTCAAGGGAGTGTGCTTGTGTATATATAAAACACTGGTCTTGCAGCTGGCCTTTTAAAAGTTATCATAAAATGACCTAAGCAGGTATTGTTTTCCCAAGTCTCCCCCGGTGATTATTTCCATCTAATCACTGAAGCAGGATTTTCAGACCAAATTTAACGCCAACTAACACAACAGAAGGCTTCCCGCAGAGGTCCACAGTACCAGCATTTCCAGATATGCTAGAATCGGTTTGGGTGGAGCATGGCTAATGTGAGATTTATCCAACAGCAGGCGTCTCTCTCATTTCTGTCTTTGCATAGGTGGTATTCCAGGACCAATTGCTTTTGGTTCGATGATTGACAGGTCGTGTCTCCTTTGGCAGAACCAGTGCGGTGAACAAGGATCGTGCTATGTCTACCAGAACTTTGCTATGAGTCGATACACCCTGGTCGCAGGTGTTATATACAAGGTAGTCCTAAATTATTTTCGTCTCCACCATTTAGTGAACTTCAACAGAGAGTTTCCAGTCTGAGAACCTGGTGAGCTTCTGCCAGTCAGTGTAGACAACACTGCCAGTCAGTGTTGTCCCTTTTGATGGGTTCAGGAGATAGGCCAGAGGAGGAAGAGGGTGCAGACGGGTTGGAGGCTGAGCAAGCAACAGATTTAAGTGAGCTCTAAGTGCCCACACGTGCCATAGGTTCGCCACCACTGCCATAGGTGTTCCCTTCGTTTTGCTCCCAGGCTGTGTACTCAGCGGTTTCCTTCCTCTTGAAGTGGTGATCATTAGGAAGACTGGCACAAACTTCAAAGTTCTGGCACTGGGAGGGAGGGAGGGAGCCAGGAGTGCTAGGTGTTTATGGACCCCAACTTGGCACCAGCACCACCCAGCATGTCCAGAGCTATAGGGAAGGGCCATAGCTTGGGGATAAAGCTCCTGCTTTGCATGCAGAAGGTCCCATCTCTGGTATCTCCAGGTAGGACTGGCAATGTCCCCTGCTTGAAACCCTGGAGAGCCAACACCAATCTTTGTAGATAATGATGAGAAAGAAGAAGAGTTTGGATTTGATATCCTGCTTTATCACTACCCTAAGGAGTCTCAAGGCAGCTAACATTCTCCCTTCCCTTCCTCCCCCACAACAAACACTCTGTGAAGTGAGTGGGGCTGAGAGACTTCAAGAAGTGTGACTGGCCCAAGGTCATCCAGCAGCTGCATGTGGAGGAGCGGGGAAGCGAACCCGGTTCACCAGATTACGAGTCCACTGCTCTTAACCACTACACCACACCAGTGGTCTAACTCAGTGCTTGGCAACTTCTGATACTCCTAGGATCAGGGGTGATGGGAGTTCCCCCCCCCAAAAAAAAACAGGAGGGCACAAGGCTGGGGAACCCATCAAAAGGGACAACAGTGATCTTTATTTTTGCCCTCCGCTGAGAAAACCAGGACTTATGGAAAGAGTACATAAGATGAAAGTCTTGGTGTCTTTCAGGTGATTGGATCCTTCTTCTTCCTGCTTGCTTGCGCACTCTACAAACCACCTCCCCCTGAATCTGTTCCGGGAAGCTCTGACGCCTCTGAAAATGGCAACTGCGACGTCCAAGAGAACAAATACCCACATCAATCTCAAGACGACATATAGCACGGAGGATATGACAAGTGACTTTCACACCATTTCCAAGACACTGTGTCTAAAGAATATGTATTCGTCTTTTCCTGTTAAATGATTGGTATTATTTTTCTTCATTTCCCCCTCCTCCGGGGAAGAATAATTTAATGGTATATAATTTAGTATTTTCTGAACAGCAAAAGCACACTGCAAAACTTGTGCACTGGCCTTGCCACCTTGAAGCCTATCACCAGGGTTTGGGACCCTTTTTCCCAGTGTGGAAGATGGAGGTGCCAGGATTTTTGGAAAGGCCACAGCCAGTTTCAGATGTCTCTCACATGTGGCTGCTGCCATTTTGGAATGGAGCGCCGCCATTTTGAAATTTATTTATTTTTCTAAACCAAGATGACAGCACCTGTGAGGCACTGGAATGTGTTCTGCTTGGCTCGAGTGGGCAACATTCACTTTACAAAGTGTCCCAGCCTTGCATTTAGAGACCAACTTTAAGCGTAACCTCAGCATGCCACAATGTTTTGTGGCGTCAACCAACCTCACAGTGTTAATTTATGTCAAGAAGGGCTAAACATAGCTTCAGACCATTCCTGTATAAAGCACTTAAAGAGGCAAGCAGAGTTCACCCCCATGGGCCGTGTGTGGACGCTGGTACAAGCTCTTCTCTGGTGTAAATGTAATTTGGCTGGTTTGTCGCTGCTCCTCAGGCAGGAAGTTCTGTGGTAACGTTCTTGGTCCTCTTCCTTTTTGGGGGGTTTTCTGCTCATCACTCGGGGGCTGCAACATCACGGTGACTCACAGATATGCATTGGCCTCCATAGATCAAATACGACAGGCAGAATTTCCATAACACCACACCTCGAAACATCATTTCTAACGGAAGCCATTCATATATTTAGCCATGAGTCACTAAGTGAGGAAGATGCATTTGTGGTGGATCCGCCTTTTTTATTTTATTTTATTTTTTACTGTGAACAGTCGTCTTACCAACACAGCTCCTGTCTAGGCTTCTCTCTTGCAGCTGTTTTGTCTGTCGTGTATATTTTGCTCTTGGTGCTCCAAGTGGTTTCCCAGGCACTGTAACCCTCCCCAGGAAGTTCCCCATGGAAAGGAAGCTCTCTGAACTTGCTCTGTCTTAAAAGGAAGGCCTTATACTTGCTATCTACTGATGCTAAAAACGCACCATACATTTAAAGCCCGTGACTTTCCCCAAAGCATCCTGGGAGCAATAGTTTTTTTTAAAAGGGTGCTGGGAGTTATAGTTCTGAGAGTGGCAAACTACAGTTCCCAGGATTCTTGGAGGAAACAATGTGCTTTAAATGTGTACACAGTGGTTGGAGTTGGCACCCCATTCCCACCAGAAACTATTTTACTGTTTCTGTACCCCTGTGAGTTCACTCCCCGGTGTGAGTGTGTGGCTCCAGAACCAATTCTTTTTCCGGCCTGGACTGCGTGTACAGCTGTTTCTCGTGTGAGGAGAAGCACTGAGACAAATTATTTCCTCATATTCGTTTATGCCTTTTGCCTCCTCTGGGATTTAAGCTGTCTGGAAAGCAAGCCTTATGAGGAACAGTTGAGGGAATTGGGTATGTTTATCCTGGAAAAGGGGAGAGGAGACTGAGAGGAGATGTGATAGCCATCTTCAAATATCTCAAGGGTGGTCACATGGAGGAAGGAGCAAGCTTGTTCTTCCCTGATCTGGAGGGTGGGACCTGAACCAGTTGCAAGCAAGGAGGTTTCAACTATCAGGAAGAGCTTTATGACAGTAAGAGCTGCTCAACAGTGGAACAGATTCCCACAAGAGGTGGTAGAATCTCCTTCCTTGGAGGTTTTTAAGCAGAGGTTGGGTGGTTGTCTTATATCAGCGATGTCCAACAGGCCGATCGCAATCTACCGGTCGATCGTGGAGCATCCCTGGTCACTCCTGGTCGATGGTGTGATCCTGACCCCTCCCCCCAAAAAGAAGCTCAACAACTCTGGGTAGATCACTGCCAGTTTTTTATAGTGGAACTAGATCGCAGTCTCTTGGAAGTTGGACATCCCTGTCTTATATGATTTAATTGAGACTGCTGCATTGTAATGCAGCTACTGAGCCCCCTTTAAATTCCTGCTGCCCTTCCCCCTCCCCTTTAACCCCGCCCCCAACTTTCCATCCACACCAGGCCACTGGGTCTTGGAGGCACCATTTTAATTTCCCATAATGCCTTGAGACATCGTGAAACATTAAAATGGTATCTCCAAGACACTACTTAGTGCTGGTCAAAGGACTTCTGTTGACCACTGTCACTGCTAAGTAAGCCCACCAAGAGACCCCACGCATAGCTGTCAACCTTTCCCCCTTTTTTAAGGGAAATTCCCTCATTCCGAATAGGATTCCTCACAAGAAAAAGCCCCACTGACAGAGGACAGGGCCAATCAAAAGACATTTCTCAGAGAGCCCCTTCCAACTAGGAGCTGACTTCAGCTCTTCAGCATGTGTGAAGTAAGCACCCATGAGATCTCATGAGTGTATGAGAGAGATCAGTTCATGGTGAGGAGTTCTATTTTCTGATGAGTGTAAAGGAACTTCTTCTTTCTCCCTTCCTCACAATATTTAGTAAGGGAGCATGACGAGACTTGTATTTCACGGTGCCAAAGGCCACGGTCAATTTCAAAACGAGGGGAAATTGTGCCAAGCACAGTTTCAATGGGGATTCAAAACGGGGGGAGAAAATGAAGGCATGCTCCATTCTTCTAGCTCGCCCCCAAACTGCCAAAAGAGTGGGGTATTCTCTTGTTGGTGATTGCTTGAGTTTGCTTTAACTGGGATCAATTAATTTAAACAATCTGCCAGATCTTGGAGTACAACTTGTCGAGACTTGCATTTCTTCTGACTGCTGGGGTGGTGGTGGTATATTGAAATACTCCTCAAGTAAGGAAATAATAATAATAGCTAGCATGGCAAGGAGAAGGGTAGGCTGAGCCCTTTCCCTTTGACATGCTACTTTTGCATATGCAGGGAAGGAAACGAAGATGCTTTGGGATTTCATCTTGGGGAGGGGGCGGTCAGCGGTTGCTGGTAGGATGTGAGGGAAGACCCAGAGTCTATCCTGAACACCATTTCCAGGTAAAAGAATCAGGCGTCAGGTGATGGGAAAAGCCCTCCAGCTTGAGACCCTGGAGAACAGCTGCCAGCCAGAGTAGACAATATCACACAACTCTGTTGATTGCATCAATCGACTAAAATCCCCCAGCTCAGATCTCCTGATGATGTACAAAACCATATTTTTCCGGGTTTTTAAAACAGCAGGAAATCCTTCTTCACACAACACACAGAGAAGGTACGCCATTTGTTGCGTGGCGAGTTCCTGCCTCCCCCTTGGAAATAAAGACACAGGACACCAGCATTTTAGGTTAATGGGCGAAAATTGGCCACAACTTTATTGGTTACAGGAATTGAGCGGTACATTGGCTCAGGCATTGGTCCTATCGACTATCCGGCTTCAGCCTGATTGCTTGAAGACTGGGAAGGGTTAACTGCCAGTAGGGGGAGTCCTGCTGATGTACGCCAACTAAGAGCTCCTCCGGGGTCGCCACTCGGGGGTGTGCCTTAGGCCCTCACCTCCATAGGCTTCGGACAGGGCCACGCCCCCGGGAATCCTTTACCGGACTACCCTTCGATTTGGTGGAAGGTGATGGCGCTTCCTCCCCCTCATCTGCATAACAATACCCTTACCAATGCCTAACCGCCAATGCCGAGAAAGTTGTGACGGTTTGCTACGAGGTAGGCGAAAAACCAGATGTCTGGTGCCAATTTGCCAAGTGGAAAAAAATCCTACCAGGCCCCTTGACGGTGACCAACCGAAGTTTAGAGCCAAACCTAAAGGGTGGGAAACCGGAGCAGCTGGAGCGACGAAAGAGGAAAAGCCTCGGCCGCGCCGGCCCTAAATAGGCCCGATTGGCTGGCAAGGGAGATGACGCGGCCGAGGATTCCCCCAGTCTCGCGGGGAGGGCGTGAAGCCCGCAACCCCACCTCCTCTCCAGCTTGGAAGTGGCTTTCTCGCGGGAGGCAGGGATGATCACCACCTGAATGGCTTTAAAAGAGGAGTAGAAGAATAGGTAGTCCATATTTACTGATACTGATGCTCTCTCCACTGTCAGAGGCGCTATGCCTCTGAAGAGCAGTCAGAAACCACAGGAGGTGAGAGCGATGTTGTGTTGAGGACAGGTCTCCTGTAAGCATATGGTTGGCCACTGTGAGAACAGGACGATGGACAGGATGAGACCCTAGCCTGAAACTGCAGGGCTCATATGTTAAGAATTTATACAGACTTCTCTCTGGACAATTTTGGATCCAAAAATATCTTCCCTATAGCAGGCTAATAATCTGACTTGCAACGTTTCTGCCTGCGATGAATGAAATTCTCCTCCCATGACTTTTTCCTCCCCGACCGCTCTTGCAGCTGTCTTTGTCTTCCCTCCCCAAGTGTTAAGCCCTTTGTTTATATTGTACATACAGCCCTGATAGCTTCATGTTACTTACTTTGCAATGGAAGAAGGGTGAGAGAAGGGGAAAGATTATCTGCCCGGCCCTGTCAGAGGATCCCACACAATGCCGCCGTCTCAAAACTCAAATGCTTAAACTTGAGAGTTGTTGTTTTTCACCCGCTTTCCACCAAAGTCTTTTCAGACTTGGCACTTCTGAGTCTGATCCCGATCCCTTTTCCCAGGGCTCGAAGAGAAGAACTACCATATTACGTAGCCACAACCTGCTTTTGTCCTACTCTTTTAAGATGGACACCTTTCTTTCAATGTACTGTAACGAAGGTTTGACTTACTGGTTGTGATTGTGCTTTGTCACCTATGCTGATGTTTCCACTGGGAAACATGGGGGTTTTTTTAAAGGAAAAAAATGGATCTATGCAATGTCTGGCTTGCTGTACTCTGTAAAGAAACTGATTTTAGATACATGCAAAAAACAAAATTGGAATGGTCATGGTTTGTTCCCCGCCTCCCATTCACTAGGTATTCATGCTAAATGCCTGTCACAATCACAGGTGCGCCAGCTGGGAATACATGTGGAGGACATTGCCATTTCCAGTTTCAAGTCTTAAGTTTTGCTTGCCACATTTTTGCACCAGTTTGCAATTAAAAAAAAAAAGTTCTCACAAAAATCCACCAGCATTTTAATGTGCCTTTATGCTAATATGAGGGCTGTGGACCAAATAAGGCTGAGGCCCAGATCCCGAACTGAATTGCACTGATATGTCCCTATCTGGGCGTTGGCTGGGGCAGGATTAACCGAAAGCTGCACAAAACGATGTATTTATCTGATTCTAAAAACATGCAGAGAACCGATTGATGACACGATGCATCCCTTCCACTTCAGAAGCAAGACCAAGTGTTGAGAACTCCAGAATCTGGAGAGAAATTCAGATGAGGAGGATTTTTGATCCATTCCTAAATGGGCATGCTAAATCAGCCACAGAGAAAATGGGTTTCTACCTACTTTCTTTTTGAAAGAATAACCTTTCTGCACTGATTCCATATGGCCACTAGGTGGTAGCAAAGACAACACTTTCATCAAATTGTCCTATTTGGGTAACTGGGAGTTCATTCTTACTGGGAATAGAATTGTGGAAACGTAAAGCAGAACGGATTAGAAAATTATTAAACAGCCCCCTGCCTCCATCCAAAACCATGGCCCACTGTCCATTGGATCTCCACATTAATCCACATGTGCAATCTCCAAGAGTCATTGCAGGGATGGGTTTCTTGTATCACATCAAGAGGATATTTCAAGATAACTCAAACAAGTGAGCCATGCCACATCTGTAAGGAAAGTGTTTGGACAAAATATTCAGTTGGTATTTGAACATTTCCCAAGACCTGCTGGAGATTATGTGTATTCGCCAGGAAATGTGGAAAAGTCCCTCTTCAATTAAGGATTGTGTGCACATTCTCCATGCAGGCTGGGGAATGTGCAGAATGACCGGTTGTTATGCACTTTAACTGCTCAACTTACATAATGCATTAACACAGATCCTTGCTTTTTGGACTCTATGTTGGCTGTGTTGACTGTCATTATGAGTACCTCCTGCAAAATGCAAAATGTTTCCTTTCCCTCCAACATTTCTCAGATGAAAATAGGGATGTCCTATTCAATAATAATAATAATAATAATAATAATAACAACAACAACAACAATAATAATAATAATAATAATAATAATAATAATAATAATAATAATAGACTGCCCATCTCCAATATTTCTCCAGTGAATCTAGAGAGACCCTACCATTGCCTCCAACATTTATTCAATGAAAATAGGGATGTCCTAAAGAAAAGCTGGACATTCCGGTAAGAAATCAGAAACTGGGACTGCTTCTGTAAATCCAGGACTGTTCCTGGAAAATAGGGACACTTGTGGGGAGTCTGTGTCTGCATCATCAGAGACAGCGCCAGAGGTCAATGCATCTTCACAACCACTCTGGCCTGTCTCTCTTGCATACATGGGGGCAAAGTTGTTAGGTACACGTAGCCTTTCAGGAACTCACAGGAATCCATGGCAAACTTCATTTTTACTGAATGAAGAAGTGTGCATGCACACAAAAGCTTATACCAGAACAAACTTACTTGGTCTATAAGGTGCTACTGTTGTTGTTTAGTCGTTTAGTTGTGTCCGACTCTTCGTGACCCCGTGGACCAGAGCACGCCAGGCACTCCTGTCTTCCACCGCCTCCCGCAGTTTGGTCAGGCTCATGTTTGTAGCTTCGAGAACACTATCCAACCATCTCATCCTCTGTCGTCCCCTTCTCCTTGTGCCCTCCATCTTTCCCAACATCAGGGTCTTTTCCAGGGAGTCTTCTCTTCTCATGAGGTGGCCAAAGTATTGGAGCCTCAACTTCACGATCTGTCCTTCCAGTGAGCACTCAGGTCTGATTTCCTTAAGAATGGATGCGTTTGATCTTCTTGCAGTCCATGGGACTCTCAAGAGTCTCCTCCAGCACCATAATTCAAAAGCATCAATTCTTCGGCGATCAGCCTTCTTTATGGTCCAGCTCTCACTTCCATACATCACTACTGGGAAAACCATGGCTTTAACTATACGGACCTTGTTGGTAAGGTGATGTCTCTACTTTTTAAGATGTTGTCTAGATTTGCCATCGCCTTTCTCCCAAGAAGGTGCTACTAGACCATTTATTATTATTATTATTATTATTATTATTATTATTATTATTATTATTATTTCGACTGTGTCAGACGAACACCTACCTGAATCTAGATTCATTTTTACTGAGAGCAAAACAAGAAGTAAACTTTGTAGCAGCATAACGCTTAAAGAGAGGGATCTGTTGGCCTAGCACCACTCTGACTGTGGTATCCTCTGTATAAAATAAAATGGTGGCCCCACAGCTGATTATGACGCTGCCATTTTGTTTTGTTTTTAACCCAGAAGCCCCCTCAAAATGTTGCTACTTCGTTACATAGCATGGTTCTATGAAAGGGGTTACCAAAGCAGCACCTATTTATTTCTTGGCTCTTTTAGATGTGGCAGTAGTTTTGGGTTCTTTTGGGCCCCCAAAGCCACCATTTTGTATTATTCCATGCATGCACATATGCGGCAGCCATTTTGTGATGCCACTTTCCCATAATTCTGATGGGCCCATTGCCCCTGAAAGGTTTGTGACCCTTGTTCTATGGGGCTTGTGGGTAAAAAGCAATGTAGCCACCAGGAGGAGAGCTCCAAAACGATGCTCCAGGTTG